CTGTAGTGTAAGAACAACAAACTGATGATTGCTAAATACTAGCCAGGGGTGGAATGTGAGGTCTGTTCTCAAAGGAACTTGCTCTGATTCCTATGGCAAATGATAAGATAAAAGTGGTGAAGAGATAAAGGTGGCAATGTTAATAAAAAATATTAAAGACGAGTTTCACTCTACATGCATGCACACATACAGTCTTCTGAACCACATCGCTTCCTTATCCTGTGTGATGGAAGTGTTAACACAAAGTTAGCAGAAAGATCTGGAAAATCTTCCTCTTGGTTTTAGGAATGGATATGGCATACCCTGCCAGCAGTGCCAGAGAAGCAACTGATCCGTCGCAGCTGGCAAAGTCAAGGGTATGTAAAGGGGAAATGATAACAACAACGATGATGACGACGACGACAACAACAACAACAACGGCAACTACAGGAATAATAACAGCTAGCACTTATAGGGTTGTTACTATGTGCCAGACACCATGCTGAGTGCATCACATGCATCATCTCCTTTAATCTTGACTCCAACCCTGTGAGGTGGGCACTGAGACCATGAATGGTTAAGTGATAAGCCCACAGTCACAGGCCCAGTAAGTGGTAGGTCTGGGATATGAAGGCGGAGGGCCTGTGCTCTTCCCTGCCTTGAGACAATATGCTCTTGAGAAGAATTCGGGTTAGACTAGAAGAGGAAGAGCCAGCACTGGAACAAGAAAATGATCTGTTAAGAAGGTGGGTACCTAAGAAAAAGTTTGCTCAACCTGGGCAAGCTGCTTAGCCTCTTGCTTCTTCTTCATCTGTCTGAGAAATATTCTGGCACTTTCCCTTGCAGATCCTACTGCATGAAATACCTTTCCTTGCCACCTGACCCTCTTCCTTACCCTGGGAGCAGGCTGCGGTTTCTTTGCAAAGGAACTCACCTTCGGACACAATTTCCTATCCAAGAAGTCAGGGCAGTCTGGTATCCCCTGTGGTGTTGCAATGTGCTGGGGAGGGGGCAGGACAAGAGGGCAGTGAGAGAGGAAAAATGACACGTGGGGGGCTTGCATGTGTCCGGGTGTTTATATCCAGTTAAACCCAACAAGGACAAAGTTCTCTTCTATGCCCAGCCATGGGAGACACAAAAGCAGTGGAACAAATATATGACTAGTACTTGCCCTTGCTGGATGGTCTGGGTAGAGACACGTGGGAATCTCTGGCCCTTTTGGTTCCCAGATGGATGAGAAAATGAAAATCTCTGTCCTCCACCTCAACTCCTGGGCTTCCAGAGAACTCCCAGAAGCCTAAGGAAGGTGGGACCCAACCAGCCTGTTCCTGCCATAAACACCTGTGGCATGTCACTTTTCCTGTTCCTTTGGTGCCCCCTATCTCTTTTTCCCTCCTTTCTCATCAGGGCCTCTCTGTGTGTTGGGGGTGGAGGGTGTCAAAATGAAATCCCTGTCAGCTTGGGTGGCAGGGAAGCCTGGCCATCTTTTGCGTCTCACCAATATATGCTGGGCTCCTGATCTGCCAGCCACTTTATACCTCATAGAATGGAGACTGGGGACTGCACTGAGCCACCCACACTTGCTGACCTGGTCTTTTACGTGACACATATTTGCCAAACTATTGTCCAGGCTTCCAAGGTCAGCCCGTGGCCAGGGAAGAAAGAAGAAGGTATCTTTTCTCCCCTTTCTGCCTAGCCAAACCTCCCCTGCGCCGCCCCACCCCCTCCAAAGTCTAGCTTGAGGACTATCCCTCACAAAGCCTTCCCTCCCTCCTCCAGCTGCTGCTGACCTCAGAGCCCTGGCTGCCTCTGGCCCCTGCTCCAAGGAGCACAATTAGCACCTGGCCAGCCACTGGCCTGGCTATTTGTCCTAGCCTCTGATTGTTTCGGTGTCTTAGTCATCTCTCCCCTACGGCCTCCTTCGCACACCTCCCCCACAGCACCTAGCATAGGTTGGGCACACAGTAGGTGTTAATAAATGTCTGTTGAACCGAAACTCAGCAGCCCCTATGAGGTCAGAGCCCTCATAAGCTCCCCGACAAGCAGTTCCTTGGCAACCAGCGCTGGGGCCCGGGCTATAGGGCATTAGCGGCAGGGCTGCGATGATAGGACACTCGAGGCTCAGCAGCTAGAGATTTGCAAGGAGGTTGGTGTTGATGAGAAAAGCCCCTGACCCCTAGGAAAGCGCCCATGAGATTCTGGGTAACGCAGCTGAGTTTCCTTTCTCCCCTGCAGAACTAGTTTTCAGTCTGTGAACCACAAAGGATATAAATTGGCAGTGAAGCCAGAAACCTCTTTGCAGTTTAGAAATCCCAGAATGATAACCAAGCCCGGATTGGGGTCAGGCCCAAGTCTGAGGCAAGGAGACTGCTCAAGACCCCAGTTTATCACAGGACCTCCCGGAGGTGCAAGGGGCACAGCAGGCATTGGTCCTGGCACTCCTGGGGCTAGAAGGGTGTTTGGCGATAACCGTAAGTAATGTCAGCCTGCCCTGGAACCCAACAAATGATGCCACAGAATACTTGCCTCCTGCAGCCAGCCCACGCAAGAACCAGGTCTCCCTTTCCCTGTCATTCACCCAAATCCCAGGACAGGCCTGTCTGTGTGGGTGGGGGAGGGGAGGCATCCAGACCAGAACCCAGCCAGGGTTCGCAGGCAAGGCTGTACCTAGCTCCCTAGACTGGCTCAAGGATTCTAGCCTGGTTTTGACTTATGCTTATTTATACAGATGACTCAGCCACTCTCCCCACCCCTCTTGCATCCCCTTCCCCAATGGTGGATGGTGTTCTCTTCACCACCACCTTTTCCTCATTGCCATTGGCGCCTGGTCCTGGGACTGGATCTCAGCAAACGCTTGCTGAGTTGAATCTGAGCTTTAGGCACTGTGTCAGGCAATATCACTAGGCTAGTCTGTGCTTACTGTGTCACACACTGTTCTGATAATCAACACAACCTTATGAGGTGGATCCCACTAGACAGATGACAAAACTGAGGCATACAACTGACAGCGAGCACATGGCTAGTAAATAAGAAAGCTAGATTTAGACCCAGACAGCCTAGTTCTAGGAATTGGAGGGAAAATGAAACAGTTGGGGCAGGCGGCGGTGAGGACCAAGGCCAAGCTTAGGAGAGAGGACTTCCCTGGGAAAACAGTCCTCTCAGCCTGTGTCTAGCGGCGCTTTTGGGGACAAAAGCCGTGCATTTTGCAGGTTGGGGCATTTTGCACATCCTTTAAATTAGGCCCATGACCGACAGACCTCACAGCACCCTCATTTTTAGATTCCAGTAACGAAGAGAGGAGACAGAAGCCACTGTGCCACCCCTTAGCCATAGGCAGGAGGAGGGTGGGTTTCGGGCCTCCAGCTTTTCCAGGGGTGGGCGCCAGTTCCTGAGCAACCACCGAGCAAACAGTGTAGCAGTGGGAGGAATGCCAGACATAGCTGCAAACAAGCCACTCCTTAGGCTCACAGTGGAGGCTGGGTGAGGGTGGCAACGTGGAGCCTGCTAAACGCCCCCCCCACAAGAAATCCCAGCCTTTGAACCCAGGCTCAGAGACAATCACAAGTAAGGCAGCTTCTTCCCCAAACGTCCCTGTAGGAAGTCTTCAGGACAGTTCGGTCCTTCACTTAACTCAACATAACTCCCCGAGAGGCTATTTATGCTCAGGGTCCACTGAATTAATGGTAGAAAGCACCTTATAACCGACCAAGCCCTGTGTAAGTAACTACGAGGAGGGATTTGCAATCTTGCCCGGAGTGGTGTTCCGTGGGCATTTTCAGTGGGAGAGCTAGATCTGTTCCCTTCATCCCCCTCCCACTTGGCACTCTGGCCTGGGGTCAGCTCTAAGGGGGTGAGTCCCCGATGGGCGTGCCCGCCAGCTGTTGGGGCCCAGCAGTGGTGGCTCAGGCCCTGGGGTGGTGACCTCACTTCCGCTTGCTTGTACCTCCCCACCTCCCCAGCACTCCTCCCATTTGAGGCCCCACCAGGCAAAAAAATCGAGAAGTCCAAGGTTAACTGTTCCTCCCCATTTTAAGAGCTAATTAAAATGATTAGCCACAATGAACTGTCAAACATTAACCAAAAGAAGCTGCAGGACCAGACAGGGCTCAATCTCGGGCAGAGGGATGGGGGCTAGGAATCAAAAGGCCATCAAATCCCACGGCTGGGGTGTGGTGGTGGTGGGAGCAGCCAGGGAGAACCTGGCTGAGCCAGGTGCCAAGGGTTCAGGAGGTGACTCTGGTCAGAACGGCACTGTCCCTGCACACAGTCGCAAGGTAAGTGCGGCAGAGTTAGGGTGCGGTGGGGAGACCAGGAATTCATAACGCCACTACCGCCTCAGCAGTGTCCAAAAAGCACGGCGTTGGCGGCAGGGGATCCCGCGCTCTGTGGCTGCGGACCCCCCTTGCCGGCAGCAGAAGAGGGAACAGAGAGGCGGGAGAACTCGGGAGAGCGGGAACGCGGGAGAGGGAAGGCTGCCGGCTGGCTCACACGCAAACTCCGGCGCCGCCCCCCCCCCGCCCCGCCAAGAGGTCTCTATTTTGACGATCCAATTATTGGAGAGAGAGCGAGAGAGAGAGAGAGAGAGAGAGAGAGAAGAGAGAATGTGTGTGTGTTTTACCCTAAGGCGCCTGGCCCCAGAAGCCCTACGGGCCGCTGGATGAATCTAGAGGGAGCCCCTCCACGGACCGGCCCAACCTCCTGCCCTCAAGATCCCAGCTTTTGGGGGACTGTTGTCACCATCGGTCCTGTCTTGGAATGCGGGCTGCCCAGGGCGCGGGAAAAATGACCCCCTACCCCGACTCAGAAAATCGATTCCGCTTCTAACCCAGGATCAAGGAGCCCGGAATCCACAGTACACACGCGGTGGGGCGAGGCAAGGGCGGGACTCAACACGCCGCGGTCTACTCCCCTTCCCTGGGCCCCCAACCCCTACACTCTGGGGCCCCGAGGCCCCCGATTCCGCCCTCGGACGAACTTTTCGAGGGCTCCGAAGGCTCGAAGAACCGGCGCCATCGACGTACCTGAGGCGAAACGGGCTCGGTCGCCAAGCTGTTATCGATCGATCGCCTTGCAATCTCTCCCCGCTCTGGGGGCCGAGCCGCGCGGGTCCCCAGCCCTGCCAGCCCGCCTTCTCCCTTGAAAAGCCGGACCGGGCAAGTGGCGCCGGGATCTCGGCGCCGGCGAAAGGAGAAGTGGAAGTTGAGCGCGGCACCCGGTCGGTCCTCGCGGCCGCTGGGGCCAGCGTCCGCCTCCCTCCTTCCTATCCTCCTCTCCTCCCTGCCCGCCTGCCCCCGCGGCCCTGAGCCCGTGACTCACCTCAGCGCGGGGGCAGGCCGGTCCGGGCGGGCGAGGCGTAAGGCTCTCCCACACGTCGCGCCGCCAATGGCAAGTTAGAGGGCGAGATGCAAATACCAGGTGAACCCGCGGCGCCCCTGAAAAAACGACTCTGGGGGGCGGGGTGGACGCAGAAGGGCCCAGGCGGGCGGCCGGGGCGGTGGGGGGCGCCCGAGGAGGGGGCGCGAGCCAGCGGAGACCTGCGCTGAGACGACCGAGCGAAAGGGGAAATTGCACTAGAGCCACACACGTCCCCTCAGGCGGCGGCTGGGGCGGGCGCGAAGGAGGCTGGGTGGGAGGGAGGGAAGAGCCGGAGGGAGGGACCGACGGGAGGGACCGCGGCGGGCGGGGTAAGGGAGGGAGCGAGGGAGGGAGGAGGCGTCATGGTGGAAACAGCGCCCCTCCACCCCCGGCCCGCCGCTGTCGCCAGCAAGGAAGAGGGAGCCATGCCAGGGGCCCGCGCGGCCTCTCCTTCCCCTCACGGTTCGCTTGCCCCCAGAGTACGAAGAGGGCAGGGCTCCCACAGAGGGCATAGCTCGCGCTCCGCCCTGGCCCCGGCGGGAAGCCCACACAACGCCTTGAAGAGAACTCCATTCTCAGGGGAATATGGATGGCTCTATCCAGCCCCTTGGCCTGTACAGTCCACTTGCTCGACGCCTTTGGCCCGAGCCCTGAATCTAGATTATTGAACGCCTGCTGTGTGCGAACCTGGCGGGAGCGTGGGCCGCACGGGTGTGTGAAGCCAGAAGATGCCCAGAGAATACTATTCAGGAACAAATCCCAAACACTGCAGAATCCCCAGCCAAATGCATGGTGCGCTTGGGGTGACTGGACAGTTTGGGGGATTCCTGAGGGAAGTCGAGCCTAGGGCTCCTGTTGAAGAGGTCCTAAGGATACGAATGGAGGAAAGGCTGGAGAGAGAGAGAGAGGCTGGGCTGTCACGGCAGGTGCAAAGACAGCCAGAGTTGGGGGGCTGGGAGAAAGCTCATGTCCCGTTCTATCCAAAGCCAGACTGCTGTGCTTGAGGCACCCACTTGAATCCCATTTTCTTTTCTTTCCCCCTTATCCTCTTCTTTGACCTGCCTCAGTCTCCACACAACCCTCCCCACCTAGTCCTACAGCTAGGTTGCTCGGAGAGGGAGGTCCAGGGAATTGTCCCTTCTTATGGCTCTACATGGTCTGGAAGAGGGTGCCAACAGAGCCTCAGCCCCGGCATCTCCTTGGCAGAAAGCAGCAAGGCTGAAAGGTCCGTAGGAGTAGGAGGGCCCTCTGAGGTGCAGGGGTAATCAAACAGCCTGAGGTTCAGGGACCTGCCCAGCCACCAGCATCTGCTCGTTTCCCCAGGCTTGGAAAAAGTTGATTCTTGGCACAGGACTGACAGCAGTGGTGGTGGGTGACGCCTGAGGAGGCAGCTGCAGATTACAGGTTTCCAGGGAAAGCCCTAGGGGCTGCAATGGAGCACTGGCCGTGAGACTTCTCAGCTACCTATGGCCAAGTCTCTGAAATAAGCACTAAGGGCAAATTTCCACTTTTTTCCTTTTCTAAATGGCACACTTTCCCCAGGGAATTCTGGATCCCGGAGACACACAGTTCTCTGCTAGTCTCTTGTCTGTGAAGTTCTGCTATCAAAATTGTGGTAGGTACAAGCTGTCTCCTAAGTCCCCTTTATCTTGACCTTGAAACTCAATAATGGACACACACACATTTTTCCCATTTTGCTAAGAATTCAGTGGTCTCTAACAACAGACAGACCTGGATTCCTCTTCCAGCTGTGTGTCTTTGGGCAAGTCATTTAAATTCTCTAAGCCTCACTTTCATTATTTTTAAATTGGCAATAATAAGAACCTACTTCACAATGCTTTAGTGAGGATTGAATGAGGTAACCTATGTCTTTGGCAGTGCTTAGTGCCTAGTAAGCTCTCAATAAATGGTAGCTACCTTCAGTATCATCTTCATCCTCATTTTGATTTTCTCTACCTAGCTCTCAGGCAGGAAGTGCGGGAGAGCCAGGCCAGAAGTTTTGGAGGACCCATGGGGGACCCCTCCTGTGAGTGCGGTTTAAATCAAGGCTGAAGTTTCAAGACACAGAAGAGCCAGAGCAGAGACCTTCCTCCTGAGAAGGGTGGGGAGAGAGGGCAGCACTGCCCTGACCAACTCAGAGTGACTGGCCCTAATGCTTGCCGGTGACCTGGAGGCCACGACTTTGTCCGTTCCCACCTTCCCTAGCCACTCAGAGCTAACCACAGCCCCATGATCCGGGAGTTGCAGCAAAAGCAAACCCTGGCTCCTTCATGAAAATCTTGTGCCAACATCACCTTGGGGATCCATGGGCCACCTGAAGGACCTTTTTGACTCTAAGGTTCCAGGTCAGCCCAGCTGCCCTCCCCAGTGACCTTGCTGCTCCCCAGTCGGCCAGCCCTTCCCCACCTGGCTCCCTGCTCTTCCCCTTACCCGTGGGGTGAGCCCCAGCCAGGCGGGGCCAGCCGGCTGAGATCACCATTCCTGATGACAGCCATGCTGTCTCTGCCAATGGCTCATTCCCTGACTTGGCAGGAATTCCCCTTCTCAAGTTGCCCGTGGATGCCCAGGCTACGCCATCCAGTGTGCGCTCTCAGCCGGTCCCGTTCCAGCCCTGTTTTTCCCTCGTTCTCCAACCACTGCTGGGTCCTCTCAGGCCTCAGAACCTGGATCATTGCAGGAGTGGAGGAGTCTCCTGGCTGCCCATGGCCTGTGTGGGGACACCTCCACACTTCTACACTCAACTTGCCATTGCACCTTGGCAAGTTTCTCAGCCCCTCTTTGCTCCCTCTTTAAGTAGTGCCTAACAGCCTGGGTTCTTCTGCAGACCACCCCAGGTTCTTTGGAGACAAGGTTGTTTCCCCCTCCTTGAACCCCTTGGCCTCAACAAATTCTCTTCAAACCCATGGCCAGAACAAAAGCCCATACTGCCACAGCTTCTGTGGCCATGGTCCTTACTTTTCACCATGGACACATGCTAGAAAAAAAGTCACCTATCAATCAGACTTTCAGAATGAGAAGCATATTCAAAAACCAGGAGAAAAGTTATAGTTTAAAAGGAAACTTCCCACCTGTAAAGTTGAGAAGCCCCCCATAATCATGTCTATCCAGCCACCAATTTAAGCCTTTGTTAATATGTTCAATAACCCCAGGCTTGTCTCTATGGGATTTATATGACAAGGCCCTAGCTAGATCCAGTGATGGGCAGAAAACTCTAAGTCCCAGGGCATCATCCAGAGTGTTTGTTTGAAAAAAGGTTGTTGAGTAGCTGCAAAATAAAAGAATTCCTTGGGATAGCTTATACCAAAGCGCTCCCTCCTGGGATGATGGTCTGTTGCCCTGGACTATATTAGGGGGTAACGGGGGTGGTGATATGCCTAGGCCAAAATGCAGGCATACAGATGGAAGGATGAGGATGGGAACAACTTACCAGACCACAACTTTTGCTTGGCAGGCCACCTTCCTTGGCTGGGGCTCCTAGAAAGCCACTTGGTTTCCCAACTGAACCCTGCTCTCATTTAAATGGAGAATTATACCTTTGGTCTCCAGGGTTTTGCAGGGACCGGCCCTGGCATAATGAGAGCACAATGAGAGCCCCTACGAAACTTCAGAGGACTGATGGGTTTCACTTCTTGGAGGGCTGGGCAGCAGCAGAGGGGCCTGCCTAGAAGGCGATGCCAACCCTGACATAGGAGGGCCTTGTACAGGCCTAGTGGTTTTTTTCTGGGGGGAGGCAGAATCAGTGTCCTTTAGGCCCCCTCTGGGTTGGTGGAAGATTTGGGAGGGTGGGGAGGAGGAGGAGGAGAGACCTAATCCTGTGGTTCATTTGCAAAATAATAATAATAATAATAATAATAATAATAATAATAATAAGGCAGAAGTGGCTTTGGGAAGAATTCAGCAAATGAGGGCAAGCCCCTGGTGTCTCTAATCCCACTGGTGTATAGTCCCTGTCTGGAAGCCAGGATTTAACCTGGAAAAGTCCCTGGGACCAGGGCAGAAGGTACCAACCTGCCTTGGTGTGTCTATTGGAGGCAGCAAAGCATCCGGAGCTTTTGGGACACTCTCCAGTGGAGCCAGAATTAACCCTCCAACCCCCAACATTTGCCAGTCCAACACCCATCTTGTGTGGCTGGCGGCTTCACTGTGCCCTCAGTCCCTGCCGAGATGCCAAATGACACTCCAAATGTGCTTCCCCTCATGGCTCACAGAAAAAAAAAACTAGTGGGACTAAGGAGGTTTTGGCCCAAGAAGTTGCTGCTGGGACAAGGGATTGGGATGGGGAGCAGAAGGATGGCAATATGCGAAGGCCTTCTGTGGGCCTTGGGTGGGCTGGGGGACAGGGATAGACAAGCAGCCATCAAGCTGGGTGTTTCCTCCTCAGATGGAGAGGAGGCTCAGGGGAGTGGAGGGGGCTCCAGTGACATTGCATTGAGGCACTACATATTATAGATGGCGAATAGCGCCCCCTGGAGTTGTGCAGGGCAGTGACAGTAAGAACAGACAAGAGAGTTGGGAAGGGGTGTTTGAATGAAGGAAGAGATCAGGAAGGGCTCAAAGTGGGATATTACAGTGGGAGCACTATGTTTGACTCCAGATCCTTGGGACTGGGGACGAGGTGGCGTAGTGGGGAGATGCTGTGAGGGGGGCTCCTCAGCTCCTAATTTTACCCACTTCACATCTTGTCAAGGGGCAGCTCCAGGCTGAGGGCTGTGCCAGGAGGTAGGATGATTCTGCTCCTTCAGGGTTGCCCCATCCCACAGGGAAC